GGGGGGGGGGGGGGTATAAGCCATCCTATTTTATGGTAAGAATTGGTTAACATTTAAAATAATAATTGCTTTCTATAATTAAAGTCTTCATGCTACTGGAATAGTTGGTTATAAATTTATTTTTTTGTACGCATCGAGCCGAAATGATCATTACAAAAGCTACAAATTGTTATTCGTCTTTTGTGAATTCATTTATAATGAAGTTTCCATCTAAAGCACGCTCTGGTTGGCTGAAACAGCTCCTTCATCAGAGAAGAGATCCACGCTAGGTTGACTTTCAAATTTTTGCCTCGGAACTTTGACAAATCTGACTAAAACAAAACTTCCCATGTGACTCAGACAGACGCAATGGAAACTAGCTATTTGTCTGCAGAAACATAGTTTCGATGGAGGCTATTGTTAGAAACAGAACAACAGAATTGTTAAAACTTTACTACAATATCAAGTTTTGCTATATTCGCTTACTCACGTAACGAAATAAGCAAATTCTCAATCTAGCGAATGCTTCGATAAAAGACATATTTGTTACTTCAGAAGTAAAACAAGGACAGAAAACACCACTTGAACTGTCTCTGTTTACGAGGAGAAGCTTTATTTTTGTAAAAACGCTCTTTCGGGAAATAGCAATCTCCGGTCGTCTCAGCGAAGTGAAACCTAACAATTACAACGCTCACCCGACGAATGATCCCCGACACCTCTCTCGTGTTCTACCGCTTCGTGCGTGCCTTAACAGAACAGAACAGAGCACGCACAGTCGGGGCTTCTTTATTTGTGAAATAAAATGTAACTTATGATCTGTAAATCTGCACGAAAGTCTAACGAACGAGCAAGGAGCCCCAGTGCAGAAAATTTCCAACTGACTACACTGTTTCGACATGTTGGTCTCCCGGAACACCAAATGGCAAGTTTGTGTCAATATCTGAAAATTATGTGGGAAAAATTTGTTGTTTTAGGACAATATGCTTGGAACATAATTTTTCCATGGCAGCCGTACTTTGGCAGGCATTTTCTCTTCTTGAGGTTTGATATTTTCTTGTTTTTATGAAATGAAGTTATATTAACTGTATATTAACGATCATTTGCCATTTATTTTACTGTTTAGAGTGTCTGGCACCTTTGGGAATGGAAAACTTAATAATAACAAACGCACAGATATCAGCTTCCTCTCAAAATGATTCAGACCATGCCCCATACTACGGAAGACTACACTACAAGGGTAATAACAGCGCATGGGCAGCAGGGGTGAGTGATCTGCATCAGTGGTTTCAAATCGATTTTGGAATTGAGACAAAAGTCACTTATGTGGCAACTCAAGGAAGACATAATACCAGCCAACGGGTGACCCAATACAAGTTACAGTACAGCAACGATGGAAATACATTTCAGGTCTTTAAGCGCCAAGGAGAGAACTTAGATGAGGTTAGAAGATATCCTTTAGAAGACGAGAAAAAAATCGAACATAAAAAGCCAGCGGGAAATCAGCTGGTGTCAGACAAACCAGATGTACTGACAACGTCTAGAAACATCACAAAACAACTTACTTGATTGAATAAAAAGCATCCTTCTTCTAGAAATCCTCGAATCGTTTAGGTTTAATTGAGAAGAGCCAAAGCAGAACAAAGCAATGAAATAGACCTAATTTACGATAGCCACCTTGTTATTTAACATTTTTTATTGTTAATTAGGCATGTGATATTTGAGGTGGCAATTTACTTAAAATCGAAAAACTTCAATTGGTATCCTATTGTTTCTGATACCTATCCACACTTTTCATTAAGTATTGTAGTATAAAATACTCTATATTGTTGGTAATTCCGGTGCATCTCTAGAAAAGAAATGATTGGCAAAGCTAACATGCCAAGAAATTGATTAACTTTTCAAAAGTAAACATAATAATGAAACAAATATTCCAAAATTTGGCCTTCCATAATCATTTTGGAACAAATGTTCCACTATTGGAATGAGCCGATTTCCCAAGAACTGTTTTTTTACCCTGGCTGACCGCATGATAATTTACATTATAATCTAAAAAGGTATTTATTAATTAATTTGCACTTTTTTTGTACTATTTTACTATAGTTTATTGTTTTTATCACATGAATGAAGAATAGAGTCAATCAGAAAGCTGGCAAGTCATTGTATATTAAGAACTGATGCGCAGTATTCAACACGCACGCCTCGGTGAACTGAAAAATTAATATGTTTGGGAAGGCTCCAAACGTCTCTCGCAATCTTTGCAAATCTAGATCGTTAGCGGTGGATAGAATCAATGTACGATTCCCTGATGTCAAAATGTGGTTCGACAACTTCTTGTGAGTCTGAAGCATTACATAAGTAATATGTACATACGTTTGTTTATATTCGTGTTCCTACAGGTGTTTGTGGGAAACAGTGATTCTGACACCGTGGTAAAACATCACTTAACTCCACCAATCAAGGCACGATACATCAGACTGATACCCACGGCATGGAATCACCACATCTCTATGAGGATGGAACTCTACGGATGTTTTGGTAATTGACGCTTAAGTCAAACCCTCAAACTCAACGATAACTAATTTTTACTTGGTTGTACCTGTTACCGTCGCCGCGATTTTTGTTATGTTTTCCGTTTGTACGCGCATTCCTTCCGTTTATCTCACTGGCACGTCGTCAGTATTCTGTTAGGTTTTTCCGCATAATTCGTTTTGTTTCAGTCCCTTTTTTGTACAAGTTTTACAGTACATTTGTGCATTTCCATCGTGTGCGTGACAGTCATCTAGTTTTACAGTCTCCACCACTGTCCCTTCATCGTGTTCCTTGTCATACAACATCATACATCGCTCTCTCCGCACTATATCGTTTAAATTGTACATTTCGTGGCTTCGTAATTAAAGTACATGTAGCGCATTGAACGCTGACTACAATGGTATCTTCATCCCAGGAGAATAGGCTCTAGATTATTACATCAGCGTGTGCGAGATGTGGGAGACTGGTCACGAGTAAGGAAATTAAAAAATGATGTAAAAACGAGCGAACCGGAAATTTATAGCAAAGTTTTTCTTGTGACTTTATTCGTTTCTTTTTTTGTTTGTTTGTTTGTGTGTTTGTTTGTTCGTTCGTTTTTTTTTTAAAGAGAAGATCATGGTGCCTTGATCTATTCTAGCTCTGAGTAATCAAGGTTTCGGTAAGCGCTATCGGCCGAAGCCGAAGGCTGAGGGTAATTAACAATTAAATCGAGGTGAATGGTGGCAAAATATTCTGTAGCTATTCACTGAGAATGAAAAGAATAATTGTTTTAGTTTATACACACTAAGTGATCTCAACAACAGACGAAAAGGAAACCATTACAAGTCGATTTAATTGACTTCTCAATTCATGCATGGAAAAAAGCGAGTTTATCATTGAAGTGCGTTTTCGGTTACAACAAAATCGTTTCATTTCCATTTCTTTATCAGATATTTAACTTTCTCCCCTTTATCTCCAGCGGTGTGAAAAAACCTCTTCCCTGTGTTTCGGAGAAAACAAGGGTTCTATGTTACATACCTTTGCAGGAAAAACAAAAGTATCAAGTTACAAAGTTGGTGTAAAAAGTAAAATTGTAACGATTGCTGCTTCAATTTATTATTGAATTTAAAATGAACGAAAGTAAACGTAAATCACTGGCCAGAGTAAAATTTAAAGGCTCTCATGACAAACATTAATTGTAAGTTATTTTTGGACCCTGAATGAAAATAACACACATGAAGCAAGCACATTAATAAGAGTATATCTTATCAGGGTTTCCTTCCGTTCATTTTCTGCAAGGGGAAAATACAAACCGGGAGTGAACCGGACAGGGGTTCTGGGACCTGTCTGACTACCGTGCCAGAGCTATCAATTGCGCTCTGATTGTCATCAAAAAAAAAAGAAAAAAAAAAGAAAAAAAATGTAGAGCGTGCTAAAAAAACGTGGAAGGAACGCTTTGAATTATATTAAAAAGCCTCCCTTCTATGAGAATGACGTCATTAATTATAACTTTAAAATGGCAACGCGACTTGTAACTGTGTTAATAATATACATGAAAAAATTACTCGATTCTGATTGGCTGCGGAGACCAGTGCAGTTCAAGTGTAACACCAATGCAAAAAGTGTAACATCAGTGTAAATTACACATCGTAATTCTGGATTATGATTGGCTCAAAGACAATAGGACGTTTTCTAAGTCAGTGATATCACGTAAAATGATGACGAAAATTTTGTGCGGTAACTTTGAAAAAAGTCTTTTCGAAGGAGAAAAAATGGCTATCAGTAGTCAGATATAAGCCATGCTGGCCTCGTTGACAGTTTGTCGGTTTAAAACGCAAAAGGTAAATTTCTTTCGTACTGTATCATGTGTGATAGTCCGGTGAAAGTGGAACTTGCGTCTCTCAAGAAAATAAGTAATCACACGGTTTTTCTCGTTCAATTTGGAATTATTTACACTTGCGAGGTTTTCAAAAAGCCGAAATTGCACTCACCGAAGCGGCCCGTGCGATTTCAGCTTTTTGAAAAACTCATACGGTGCAAATTAACTCCAAATTGAACGAGAAAAAACGTATGATTACCTATACATATGTATCGGATGTCGTTTTCATTTCGTAGACGATATGCAAGCTATTGGTATGGAAAGCGGTGCCATTGTAGACTCCCAAATAACTGCTTCTTCGGAATGGAACGTCTACAGCAGTCCCAAACGAGCGAGATTGTATATTAAAGAGACTGATAGCTATTCGTGGGGCGCCTGGTCAAGTCTGGCGAAGGATGCGAACCAATGGCTTCAAGTTGATCTTGGTAAGATAACGCCGGTGACACATGTGGCTACACAGGGAAGAGATACCTGGGATCAGTGGGTAAGGAAGTACAAGTTGCAGTTCAGCGACGATGGAGCATCATTCTTGTTTTACAAGAGACAAGGAGAATCTTTGGACGCGGTAAATAGAAATATTATATAAACAATAGCCTCCTTTTGGCGCGAAAATATGTTACGATATTTTTCCGCGGACATTTGCATGATATTCATTCAAGTTATATATGCTATTTGCCGGCAGAGAGGTCCGTATAGTGAAAAACCTGTGACCTCAGTTATAGTTTTTCGGCATCCGGACCCACCCTAAGCCGATAAATAATGTTTTTTTTT